ATGGTCACGCCGCAATCCCTTCTCCTCCATTCTCCTCTCAGGATCTTGGGCACGCACGCACATGCACCTGGCGTGAGTTTTAAGCCACCGGGTCTGGGACGCGAACCGTGGTCGACTACGTGGGATTCCAGCGACATAGCCATTACGCCAACTGCTGGTTCCCATTTAGGCCTTTTTAAAAAAAGATAATTATTTTATTTATCTTTATATATTTATTTAATATAGTTTGACCAGGGAGGGACAGAGTGAGAGAGCGAAGAGCAAGAAAGTGAGAAAGCAAACCGCTAGGTCCAGGACTCGAACGCTCTCAGCCATGTGGGAGTCCAGAGCCCTTAACCACTGGGCCACCTGCCGGCCCCAAATGAGCTGCTAAGTGTTAAGGAGCGTCCCTGACCCTACCATCCCTGCTTTAGCTGTGACAACCGGAAATATTTCCAGACCTTGCCCAACGCCTCTGGGGTGCCTGGGCGCGTGCGTGCGCGGACCCCTCTGAGAACTGCTCGACTGAGCAAATCGCCCGCGCGGCCCGGGCTCGCTCACCCAGGTGGCGGCAGGGCGCGCGGGGCTCCGGGCGCGCGTCGTAGGGCGGATAGAGCGCCCGGTACGTGGTGGGCGGGATGCGCAGCTGGGCCAGGTCGCCGGGCGGCACCGAGTCGCGGTCGAAGATGAGGCGCGCCCCGCGGATCTGCTCTCTGGCGCGCGCGGGCATCTCGGCGTCCTCGGGCCAGCGGTAGGCGACGCGCGCGATGGAGAGGCCGGTGCCGGCCCGCGCGTCCGCGTGCATGTTCAGGTGGCCGGACTGCATGGCCACGGTGCGCTCCCGCACCTGCTCCTTCTCCCGCGCCCACTCGGTGGGCGACGTGGACGGCGGGGTGAAGGCGCGATGCGTCTCTGACTCGTGCTCCATGGCCGCCCGGCGCTTGTCTTCTTGGAAGAGGGTGGCGCTCGGTGGCCGCGGGGTCAACTGCGCCGAGGTGGCGCCCGGGTAGGGCGGGAAGTCTCGGTGCATCGTGGAGCACATGGAGCCCTGATACAGCCGCAGGTCTGGCCCCAGAGAGAAGTGCGAGGCCTTGAGGAAGTCCAGCCGGGTCTTCGGGCACAGCAGGAAGGCACCCGCGGCCATCGTGGGACACTGAGCCACCTGCGGGAGGCGGAGACACGGCCCTGAACGAGTGCCCGCCCAAGACAATGCTGGCTTTTATTCCTTCGCGTGCACCAGGCTCTGGGCTGGCAGCTGGGGACATCGCCTGCCCCCAGAGGCATAGATAGTCATTTGGCGCCTGCCCTTTGCCAGACGCCATTGTAGGCTTGCAGGGAGGGGAGGGGTTTACTTCCCTTAAAACAGAAGGAGAACCCTGCCCTTCTGGAGGTGATAACGGCTGGAGGTGACAATCATGAATAAATGTAACAGCATAAGGTGCAAAGTTAGAAAGTGATTGTGTGGTCCGGATCATCGTGGTCTAGTGGTTATGCAGCTGGTTCCTACACCACTGACTGCATGGTTTGAGTCCCGGATCCGGTGGCTTGAATAACATGCCGGCTATGTGCGTGCATGCCCAGAATCCCGAAGGAGGGAGAAATGGAGGAGACGGGATTGTGGTGTGGCCATTCCCCCATGGGGTGGGAGGGTTTTCTCATTTTCCCTCTCTCTCTGCTGGGTCTCCTGTGAGTGACTTGCCCTACAGCAAAAAATAAAGGAAGACTGACCCAGAGCGAGGGTGGGGAGGACACAGAGATAGATATTTTTATCAGGGCCCCACTGTGTCACAAGAGTCTGGATCCAGCCTCCCAATTAGCTAGGAACACATGTGTGTGCACTCCAGGCCTCCCCGCAGCTGGGCCAGCTGCCTGGTTATTTTAACACAACCACAGTTGCTATTATTATTACTTTAATTTGGCCAGAGAGAGAGAAAGAGAACAGGAAAGTGAAAAAAAAAAAAAAAAAAAAAAAAAAGCAAGCTGCCAGGTCCAGAACTTGAACTGTGGTCAGCCATGTGGGAGTCCAGTGCCTTAACCACCACGCCACCTGCCAGCAATTGCTATGTATTTAACCAAAGATAGAGAGGCAAAGAGAGGGCAGAAGCACCCTGCAAGAGGGTGCGGTCACACTGCAATCCCTTTTCCATCTCACCAAAGTGCCACGGTACACACGTGGGGTGTCCAGTGTGTGTTTGTGTGTGTGCGTGTTTGCCACCAGGTCTAGGATGTGAACCACAGTCGGCCATGTGGGAGTCCAGCGCCCTTCACCACCATGCCACCTGCTTGCCAGTGTGTGTGTGTTTTGCTATAGGGCATGTGTGCTCGCCAGAAAGAGAGAGACAGAGAGACAGAAAGCGAGAAATCACCCTCCAGGGGGGATGGTCACGCCGCAATCCCTTCTCCTCCATTCTCCTCTCAGGATCTTGGGCACGCACGCACACACACCCGGTGTGAATTTAAGCCATCGGGTCTGGGACTTGAACCGCAGTCGGCTACATGGGAGTCCAGCGACATAGCCATTACGCCAACTGCTGGTCCCTGTCCAGTGTGTTTTCAAGCCACCAGGACCGAGATTCGAACCACATGGTCAAGCATAAGAGATCCAGCTCCCTTAATCCCTGGGCTAAGGAGCTGGTCAGAAACTGCAGTTTTTCGGTTTGCTACTTTTTTAAAAAAGAATTATTTAATTTATTTATTTAACTTGAGTTTCCCCAGAGAAAGATTGAGAGAAAGAGGGAGCATAAGAAACCAAGCCACCAGGTCCTAGACTCAAACCACGGTCAGCCATGTGGGAATTCCAACGCCTTAACCACCACACCACCTGCCGGCCCCTCAGGGTGCTACACTTTGATCATTTAACCAGCTGGGAGAGCCGAGCTGGAGAAGATTCTGGAATAGTTAGGAGACTATTTGCCCACTGAGATCATTCACGGAGGAACTTTAGAATCCACGTGTGGGGTCCAGGGAGTCCACTTCCTCTTCTGCGCAGTGGAGACACCGGGCCCAGGGCACCTACCTGCAGGGATGGCATGTGGGTCACAAGTCCACCCTGACGGGCTCCCTGGTCTCCCATAAGACACTCACACATCCTCCTCAAGGCTGCCCTCCAGTGCGGTCCGGCCCTGCCCATTGTGACCCCGAGACCACCCCCACCGACGCTGTCACAATGACCGGCACCTCGGGGGCCCTAGAGAGGACACCCAGGAGGCCAATGGGACGACCTGGGTCTGATCCTGCCTCACGAGAGCTCCCGGGACCCAGGCCAGACCTGATTTCTTGGAATCTCAGCTTGGCCATCTGGAAAATGAGCCGGAGGGAAGCAGCCACGAGGCTTTGATGGAAGGGGCCACCAGGGTCCACGGCTGTTATTGTCCAAAGTTGTCCTGTTCTTACGAACTCCCGAGTCACGACACCTCTTAGGGTCATGGTCTCATGGTGGGGCTCACAGGGCTCCCTTTAAGGGGGTCAGTCTCCCCCACACCCCCAAAAAGACCTGAACACACCTGTGGTGAGTAGGTTCCAGCCTCGCAGCAGGGAGAGTGTGGGGGACTGTGGGTGTCTCCCAGGATTCGGGCTTCTGGGAAGGGTTTTGGGGAAGGTTTAAAGAAAAAGGGTTTTGCTCTATGTTAAAAAATTCTCCCACCCCCTTTTTTTTAAAAAAAAGAATTGTTTTATTTAACTTTATTTTAATTTTTTTTTTTTTGAGAGAGAAGTTTTTGCTATAGGGCGCGTGCACTTGCCAGAGAGACAGAGAGAGAGAGAGAGAGACAGAAAGCGAAAAAAAAACCCCCCCCCCCCAGGGGAGATGGCTACGCTGCAATCCCTTCTCCTCCATTCTCCTCTCGGGATCTTGAGCACGCATACACACGTGCCTGGTGTGAGTTTAAGGCACCAGGTCCGGGACTCGAACCGTGGTCGACTACGTGGGAGTCCAGCGACATAACCAGTTTCCCACGGTCGGCCCTTTCTGCTGGCCCAGTGACTGAGTATGTGCATGTTCACGATCAAGTCGGAAGGAATGACACACACCAAGTCTGGGGCTGCTCAGGGAGCCTTGGCCTCACCCCCGCCAGGGAACGAGCAGGTCTAGCTGCTCTTGTGGGTGGACACCGTTGGCGTTTGGCCTGTGTCCAGTGGACGTGTTTTGACTTGTTCCGCCATGGTCACGGTCACCGAGTGGCCTTGTCTGATGTTGGCGTCCGTGAGACTGTTTCTGTCCACAGGACACCGGGGGGCCAGCAAGTGGCATGGTGATTTTTTTTTTTTTTTGAGAGATTTTTGCTATAGGGCACATGGGCTTGCCAGAGAGGCAGAGACAGAAAGTGAGAAATCATCCCCAGTGGGGATGGCCACATCACAATCCCTTATTCTTTATTCTCCTCTTGGGATTTTGGGCAGATATACACACATACCTGGTGTGAGTATGAAGCCGCCGAGTCTGGGGCTTGAACTATGGTCAACTATGGGAATCCAGCGACATAACCATTACCCCATCTGCGGGTCCCAAGTGATGACGTGGTGATTAAGGCACTGGACTGCCTTTTATGGCCAACCATGATTCGAGTCCTGGACCTGGGGGCTTGCTTTCTCATGTTCCCTCTCTTTGGTCAAATTAAAAAATAATAATAATAAATTAAATTAAATAATTACTGGGGGGAAAAAGAGAGAGAGAGAGAGAAAGACACCAAGGCCCTGCGGAGACCACCAGATTAGCTCCTAGCCACGCCAAGGCCAGTGGTGAGGGCCAATCCACTGCCTGTCTCGGCCAAGGTCAAGTTCAGCCTTTCTGAAGGACGCGTGCTGGGGCGGGTACTGCGCCTGCGCGCTCACCGCGCATCCCGCGTGCCTAGACCTGGGTCAGGCCCACAGCGGCTGCGCAGAGAAATGCAGTGCTCCGGGATGAGGCCCTTGGGGGCGGCGTGGGTTTAGGAGAAGGGAACTTTGTTTTCTTTATTCCTGATAGACTTGCATATGTGCGTCGGAGAGAGCAACTCCCTTCACAGGGTCTGGTCACACGGCGACCCCTTCCTCCAGACCTCCAGCTGGCCGGCTCGTGGGCATCCCTCCGCAGGTGCCTGGCGTGTTTCAGGCTGACCCGGCCAGAGGTTGGCCACCATGAAGGATCCGGCTTCACTTCACCACGGAGAAGGGGTTGTGGCCTGGTTATCCTCTCTCCCGGGTGCTTTCTCGCTTGCTTTCCCTTTCTCCCTCACTCTCTGCCTCTCACCCACGAGACCCTACACTCTTGTGCCCCCACGGGAGAAAAACAGAGGGATAGAGAGAGGGAAAGTGAGAAAGCACCCCTCAGGGGGGATGGCCACACCACAATCTGCTCCGTTCTCCTCTAGGGACTTCGGGCACATATTCACGCGTGCCCAGGGTGTTCTTCAGGTCGCCGGGTCGGGGACTGGGATGTAAAGTCAGCCATGTGGGATTCAGCTGCCTAATCACCACGCCACCTGCGGGCCTCATACTGGCAGAATTTAATGAATAATAAGTGAAAAGAAAAGCCTCCTCCCACCCCCCTCTCCGCCGCCCTCCACCACAGCTAACAGGTTGGTGGGCTTCGCTTAGAGTATTTTGTGTGTGCGGGCAGTCGGTTTAATTTTGCAGTTTTTTGTTTTTAGGGGCGTTTGAGGGTCAAGCCGCCTGGAGGCAGAATGCAGCGAGGTCTGGGGGATCACGCCGGGTCCGCAGACCCTGGAAGCGCTCACGCGGCGACCCCTCCTCTGCAAATGCGGGTCCAGGCTGCAGAGGACAAAAGGCCGGAGCTGGGACAAAGGACGGGCCACGCCTGCGCAGACCGTGCTGTTCCTGGAGGCAGGTGGCCCCGCCCCGCACCCCTCAGGGGGGATGGCCACACCACAATCTGCTCCGTTCTCCTCTAGGGACTTCGGGCACATATTCACGCGTGCCCAGGGTGTTCTTCAGGTCGCCGGGTCGGGGACTGGGATGTAAAGTCAGCCATGTGGGATTCAGCTGCCTAATCACCACGCCACCTGCGGGCCTCATACTGGCAGAATTTAATGAATAATAAGTGAAAAGAAAAGCCTCCTCCCACCCCCCTCTCCGCCGCCCTCCACCACAGCTAACAGGTTGGTGGGCTTCGCTTAGAGTATTTTGTGTGTGCGGGCAGTCGGTTTAATTTTGCAGTTTTTTGTTTTTAGGGGCGTTTGAGGGTCAAGCCGCCTGGAGGCAGAATGCAGCGAGGTCTGGGGGATCACGCCGGGTCCGCAGACCCTGGAAGCGCTCACGCGGCGACCCCTCCTCTGCAAATGCGGGTCCAGGCTGCAGAGGACAAAAGGCCGGAGCTGGGACAAAGGACGGGCCACGCCTGCGCAGACCGTGCTGTTCCTGGAGGCAGGTGGCCCCGCCCCCTGGAGCGGCGTGCGACGCCGCGGTGACGTCACGGCGAAGTTGCCATGGCGTCCCTGAGCGGCCTGGCGTCGGCGCTGGAGTCGTACAGGGGCCGGGACCGCCTGGTGAGAGGCTGGGGCGGCGCGGGCCGGAAGTCCTGGAGTTCCGCTGAAGCCCAGAAACCGGGACACGGAGGCCAGGGAGGGGCGGGCCGCCCAGGATCCCCTGTGGCAGGCCCGGCTGGCCCTGTCCCCGAGCGCTGGACATGTACCTTGTCCCTGCCAGCCCGACCAGGCGGGACATAGACGGCCATCGGGTCATCGCGGTCGACACTAGATCTGACCAGGTCCCCGAAGTCCGCCCCGGCCGCAGGGCTCCCTGGTGGCTGGACATGTAGGTTCCGACCCGATCCCCTGCAGCTGGGCATTTAGGGTGTTTCCGGCCACCCCGATCCTGGAACCCAGCCCGCTCAGGTGCCTCCTTCCTGGGTTCCAATTACTCCCCTTTCCTGGGTCGTTTAGGTTGTTCCCGTCACCTGGGGCTGGCTGGACAGTCACATACCGGCCAGATCCCTGTGTTCGCACATGGAGGGTCTGAGGGTCCCCAGGGTCCTGCCTGGGCTCATAGGGGCATTGAGGATGTGACGGCTGAACCTTTAGATTCCCACAACATCCCCTCTGCGTGGGCACTTAGGTTGCTCCATGCAGGCTCCTTTGGCGTGTCCTGATCAGTCCCTTTTGGGTTTTACGTTTAGGTTGTACCAGGAACCACACCGGTTCTAACCAAATCCCTTACAATCGAGTGTTCAGTTGTTTCTCTTTTTTTTAAGAATTATTTAATTAATTTATTTTTAAATTTGACCACACACACACACACACACACACACACACACAGAGAAAGTGAGAGAGAGAGGGAAGGTGAGAAAGCCACCAGGTCCAGGACTCGAACTGTGGTCTGCCATGTGAGTGTCCAGCGCTTTAACCACCATGCCACCTGCTGGTCCCGAGTGTTGTTTTTTTTAAAAGTGTATTTCTTTCTTTTCCATGAGAGATATATAGAGAGAGGCACCCCAATGGGGTCTTACCTTGTGACCCACCCTTAGCCTCAGCCAGCCCGGGTGACGGGCACACACGGGCACCTTGCATGTGTGTGGGGAGTCCTGCGATGAGTGTCCACTTCCACCACCCTGGGTCACTGCCTGTCCCCAGAGATTTCAGATTTTAAAATTTTTACTTGCTAGAGGGCATGTGTGCTTGCTAGAGAGAGACAGAGAAAGAGAGACAGAGAGACAGAAAGTGAGAAATCATCCCCCGGGGGGATGGCCACGCCACAGTCCCTTCTCCTCCATTCTCCTCTTGGGGTCTTGGGCACGCACGCACACACATGCACACGGCACAAGTTTGAAGCCACCGAGTCTGAGACTCAAACCGTGCTTGGCCATGTGGGAGTCCAGTGACTTAACCATTACACCCCCAGGTTGGACATTTAAATTGCTGTGCTTGGCCATTACAATGGGGCTGAAAAGGAATTACAAAGTAACAGAAAACAACTTGAGCAATTTCTAAAAAGGGGATGGGATCAGTAAAGTCAGACGTCTCCAGAAAGCTCACAGGAAATGCATAGTAGGAGCAAAAATGCATGGATTTCAAACACTTTGGCCCCAAACTACACTTGTACTTGAATTCCATTTTCCGAGGGCTTTTTGAAGTCCCCCCCCTTTTTTAGAGGTTTTTGCTCTAGGACACGTGCGCTCGCCAGACAGAGAGAGAGATAGAAAGCGAGAAATCACTCCCCAGGGGGGATGGCCAAGCCGCAATCCCTTCTCCTCCATTCTCCTCTCGGGATCTTGGGCACGCACACACACGCGCCCGGTGTGAGTTTTAAGCCATCGGGTCTGGGATGCGAACCACAGTCGACTACGTGGGAGTCCAGCGACATAGCCATTATGCTAAGTGCTGGTCCCGAAGTTCCCCTTCTATAAGGGTGTTGAACTTGACCAGGTCGGCCATGCTCCAAATCACCTACTGAGTGGGTTCCTTTTCATTAAATTCTAACAATTTATTGTCGGTCTCCTGGCTGAGGCCCTGTCACCTGCTTCCACCCTTTGGGACAGCCAGATAGGATACATTCAGTCACCCTCTACCTGCTGGCTCCGGCAGGTGGCACCTGGTAACTGTTCGCTTGTTTGTTTATATTTATCTATTTTTCAAATTTCATTTAACTTTTTTTTTTTTGGAGAGGTTTTTGCTATAAGTAGCGTGAGCTCACCAGAAAGAGACAGAGACAGAAAGCGAGAAATCACCCCCCCAGGGGGGATGGCCACGCCAAAATCCCTTCTCCTCCATTCTCTTCTTGGGATCTTGAGCACACATGCACATGGGCCCAGCGTGAGTTTAAGCCACTGGGTCCAGGACTCGAACCACGGTCAGCTACATGGGAATCCAGTGACATAACCATTACACCATCTGCTGATCCCAGCTTATTTATTTTAATTTAACCAGACTGAGACAGAGGGAGAGAAAGCAAGAGAGAGCAAGCCGCCAGGTCTGGGACTCAAATGGTGGTCGGCCATGTGGGAGTCCAGTACCCTTAACCACCATGCCACCTGTCGCCCCCCCCCCAAGTATCTTCTTAAAAATTGTTTTTATGATATGTCATGTGCACACGAGAGAGAGAGAGAGAGAGAGAGAGAGAGAGAGAGAGAGCACGCGCACCCTCCATAATGTCTAGTCATGCCGCGATCCCCTTTCAGTCTCCAGCCCATCGGATCCTGACTGGGCCGGGGATTTGAACCACAGCCACCACATGGGATCTGGCTTTTCCAGAGCAGCACATTGCTACTGCACCACAAAGCTGGCCCCATGCAGCTTTAGAAACTACCGGCTCTTTTGGGAGCCTGTTGATCTAGAATCTTCTGCACGTTCAGTCCAGCGGGCTGGGGGCCGGGCCAGGTGGGGGGATCGATCCGCCGGAGCAGGGCTGGCTGACGGCAGTGGTCTCCTGCAGATCCGAACGCTGGGGTACTGCTGCCAGCTGATCGGCGGGGTGCTGGTGGAACAAGGGCCAGCGAGATCCGAAGTGGGGATGCGGCTGGGGGCGGGGGCGCTCAGCCACTGCCGGACCGTCCTGCGACTCTTTGATGACCTGGCCATGTTTGTCTACACGAAGGACTACGGCCTGGGGGCGGAGGTAATGGGGTTCCTGGGCGGCAGACCTCAGGAGGCTGGGGCCTTGCCTCACTGGGTGTTTTATGGACTTGTCCCAAAATGCTCCCTGCCGGACAGTTTATCATTTTTTTTCTCCTTTTTTTTTTTTTTAAAGAATTATTTTATTTAACTTTATGCATTCATTTATTTCACCAAAGAGAGAGAGAGAGAGAAAATGAGAAAGCAAGCCACCAGATCTGGGACTTGAACCGTGGTCAGCCATATGGGAGTGT